GTGTTGTAGCTTTCTGTCTTATGGGTTCATCCAATGAAACTGATAATAAATGGAAATTGTGGTCAGATATAAAGATATACTAAAATGACAATATGGCAAATATTAGATTTATTTAGTTATTTTTAACTCTTGCATTCAGTTTAATAAAATGACAGTCCTGTAATTATTCGCCACGCTTCGCTACCTCCAGTTATTAAGTCATTCAGTTATCCAGTCATGCATTCCGTTGAGTTTTAGTCATGCAGGCCTATGGACTAATGGAAAAAGGAAATTGCCAACATTAAAGTGATTATTTTTTAAGCAATCAGCGAGCACCTGGTATTTCATCCGGCTCCATTTACTGAACCAGTGGAGAAGGAAATAAGGATACATAATGAAAGAAGATAATTAATGAAAAGATAACAATGACAAGAAGGCAATGCTAACGAGGTATGTATGAACTTTGCAGCGACGGAAGAGATAGAAAGAATTATAATATCGTCATGTGCTTTTTCATAAATATAACACATTCAGTATTGTATAATCGCTTTATCTGGTTGCAGTGAGGATTTATATACATCGAAAATAGAGAACACGTTCATGAACAGGTGTTTCGTCTATAATATTATTACCTTGTAATTATGGGTACGTTACTCGCATGTACTTTCTTAAAGAGTGTAGGTAATACTATTTGTATAGATATAATTTATATGTACTCATAGCTGACAGTTGACCAAACTTAAAGTCTTAAGGCTTTTATTCTTATATATCAACTCATATTGAGGTTGATAAATATGGAAAGAAATGTTCCAAGACCATCATGATTTTCAGGCTAAATGTCTCATGATACAATCTATTGTTTAAAAAATGACAAAATTGACAAGGTGAACACTTCTTTCCTTCATTGCTACAGTAAACAGAGGTAATTTAGGCTCTTGTGTATGAACGCGTAATTCATGTTTGAATTTCATCCTGCAAGAAGATAATGACGTCACTTAAAACTATATCTTGTGGAAAACAGAGAAAAACGGGCGCAGCGCTCGTCCTAATTCATTCTGGGAAAACGGCGATCAAGAACTACGTGACGGCATTTGAAAGGGACCAACATTTGGTGAAGGTATGAATGAGAACGAATATTTATCTTTCACAATACAAGAGATGTATTTTAACCGGTTTCGAGGTTATATCTTCGAGTCTATGTGCATATTCTGACGAAGATAGAATCGAAAGCGAGGTTAAATACGTGTTCTTGTGAAGATATTACGTTGATATCGTCTTTCATTCGATAACCTTTCCACCAAATTTTTGCTTGTCAATGGTCACGTAGTTCTTGATCGTCGTTTTCCTAGAAGTGAATTTAGGGCGAGTTGCTTCCTTATAGTTTTCCTTTTTTTGGCCGGGATTTAGTTATAAGTGACGTCATCATCTCTTGGGAGGATGATTAGAGGGTTACACAGCAAATTTTAAAACGCTTGTTACATTTTACTGTAATTATTACAGCTATATAGTACTTTTTGTAGTTTTATTTTATTATTTTTTTATATACTTGTTTATTAACTTAGCAACAAGAAAAATAAATTAAGTAAAAGGAATGCAATAATAGATGATTCATGATGTTGAAATTGATGTTGATGATGATGGATTTAGATACTTTAATGTTGACGAGGCTGGAAAATAAAAGATTCAACATCCCACAGCAATAACAAAAACCAACACGGGCAAACTTAAAAAGACCGGATAACATACCATCAAAACTAAACTCTTATTGCAGCATGGAAACAGAGAGGTAATTGCCTAAATAAAAGACGGCATAACCATGACCATCAAAATAAACTAGACCAAAAAATGGTACGAATACCCCCACCACCAACCACAAAAAAAAAAAAAAGAAAAAAAATCAGCGACATTGGAATCCTTCACTTCACTCTTCACACGAAGCTATCTTATTGTCTTCCCCTCCATAAAAAAAAAATTAAAAAAAGGGTACGATCAAACATCACGGGTCTTCATGGGTCCACGATAAGCGATTCTGGGCCGCCAACGACGAAGCGAGAAAGGCGGAAAAAAGAGTCCATTTATTTGAGATGAAGAGGGTAGGCAAAGGAGGAGTAGAGAGGAGGGTGGGAGGAAGGAGAGGAGTGGGGGGAGGGAGAGAGTTAGAGAAGGGTGAAGAGAGAGAAGAGAGAGAGAAGAGAGAGAGAGAAGAAGAGAGAGAGAGAGAGAGAGGAGAGAGAAGAGAAGAGGAGAGAGAGGAGAGAGAGGAAAGGAAGGGAGGGAGGGAGGGAGAAGGGGAAATATGTGAAAAGGCACATATTGTATAACACGGAACTTGTTTCTTTTTGTTTTCATTCTGTAGGTTGTGTGTATGTTGCTAAACATACTGGAATAATTATGGTAGAATTCGAATTGGGTTTACACAACAGAAAATACTCACCTGACTTTACTTGAAGAGCAGCCATTTTCTATTTTATTTTGCGTCAGTAGAGTAATATACACACAGTAACTAGACACAAGCACACACACAAACAAACCCAACACACCACACAAACGCACACAAACACTTAACATACAAACACATAACACACACACACACACACAACACAAACCATCCAACACAACCACACACCACAAACATCCAACACCACACACACACAGACGACACAAACATCAAACAGTACAAACACATAAACACTCACACACGCACACAAACACTCAAACATACAAACACAGAACACACACAAACATTCAACATAACAAACACATAAAAACACACAACACAACATATCAACATACAAACACATAAACACTCACACACGCACACAAACACTCAACAATACAAACACATAAACACAACCACAAACATTCAACATACAAACACATAAACACACACAACAAACCATTCACATACAAACACATGACAACACACAGGCGCGCAACACAAACACTCGACATACAAAACACATAAACACACCACACACACAAAACAACCCAACACACACACACACACAAAACACCCACACACACACACACACACAACAAAACACCCAACACACGACACACACACACACAAAACACACACACACACAACAACACAACACACACACGCACATCACACACACACCCAACACACACACACACAAACACCCACATCACCACACACATAACAAACACCCAACACACACACACACACGGACACACACACAACACACCACACAACACACACACACACATCAGCACACACACAAGGCGCGCACGACAACACAGAGAGAGACACCCAACCACACAACAACAACACCCAACACACACACAAACACCCAACACACACACCACACAGACAGCCCAACACACCCACCCAACCCACAACCAATAGAAAAACACCCAACACACACACAATAGACACCCAACACAACAACACACACAGACACCCCAACACACACACAAAACACCCACACACACAACACAGATACCACAACACACACACAAACACCCAACACCACACACAGAGAACATAACACACCCAACACACACACAAACACCCACACCAACACACACACAGACACCCCAACACACACACAACACCCACCCCAACACACACACAAACACCCACATACACACACACATCACACACCCAACATACAACACCAACACACAAACACCCCAACACACACACACCACAACCAGAATACACACACACACAAAGGCACGCGCAAACACCCAACATACACACACACACACAAACACCCCACCAAACACACACAAACAACCAAACCACACACACCAGAACAAACACCCACAACACACAAAACACCCAACACACACACAAACAACCCAACACACACACAGACACCCAACACACACACACGCACACAAACACCCACCACACACACACACAAATGCACACAAGGGAAAAGCAAACACCTCATCTCCATCTAATCTCCGTCTGACAACTACACAAAATACGCCGCCGAAGTTCCTTCTCCTCAACTAGACGTTCCCCTAACATCAAAGGCCATACAGACTCGCCCGCCAGAAAAAGGACTCCCCAACATAACAAAAGACCCCCCTAGCATAGCACATAGGCCTAACCCACATAGGAAAAAGGAACTCCCCAACATAACCAAAAGACCCCCCTCAGCATAGCACATAGGCCTACCCACATAGCAAAAGGAACTCCCAACATAACCAAAGGACACCCCACAGCATAACACAATAGTCCTACCACCAGAAAAAAGGAACTCTCAACATAAACCCAAAAGACCCCCCTCAGCATAACACATAGACCTACCCACAAATAGCAAAAAAGAAAACCCCAAGATAGCACAATAGCCTACGCAAAACATACAGAAAGAAACCCCAACCATAGCACATAGGCCTATCCATAATAGCCAAAAGAACCCCAACATAGCAATTAACCTATCCACATAGCATAAAAGAAACCCCCCAACATAGCACATAGGCCTATCCACATAGCAAAAGAAACCCCAATAGGCACATAGCGCCATCCACATAGCAAAGAAATCCCAAAACATAAGCACATAGGCCTACCCACATAGCAAAAGAAACCCCAACATAGCACATAGGCCTATCCACATAGCAAAACAAACCCCAACATAGCACATAGGACTACCCACATAG